CAATTTTAGGAACTCATGAAATGTCAGGGATAGTTATTACTGTTTTGACAGGATGTTTAATATTTATGGTATGAGATTGTTTTAGTGGCATAGCTAAAAATTTAAATATACATGAGAATTTATTATAATGATAGGTTTTAATTTTTTTTAATTCCACTAAAGTATTTCACAAAAACAGCCTCATTAACATTCCATACGGAGTTGGTGGGTTACACCAACCTTGTAACCATCAAGTAATCATTAGAGTATTCATACTGTAACTTTTAATATGCTATGTATAATCTTAACAAAGTTTTCAGTAAACATTATAAATCTTTTGTACATAAAAAGTCAGTTTTTTTCTAAATCTAAATCAATAAGAAACGTTATGCTTTTCACTTACACTTTACATTTTATCTGTTATTTTCTCTACCCTAACTTTTTATGGACTCTTCATATGGGCCAACATAAGAAAATATGAAATAAAACTAAATTAATCATTTGTTTTCTTTCTTTCTAGGAGGTCTGTAAATTGTAACAAGAAACTATAACTGTTTTTCCTTAATAAGTTAAAACTCATAACAGTTTACATCTGTTTCTACTTTGTTTTATTGTCCTTTGAACTATGTCTAATAATCTTGCCATACAAGTTACAGATCACTTGGCAAATGCATAACTCAAGTTACCTTATTGAATGATATAAGGCATTAGCTACTCACAAGCATATCATTATTTTTAATTTTCTTACCTAATCTAACTATCTAACCTAATAAGTTTCTAATTTTTACAAGATAGTTACCTTTAGAATAATAAATAGAAAATATACATGAAAAACAAGAAATATAGCACCAACATTTGATCTCTTATTTTTTAGCTGTCAGTTCCAATGAAATTAAACTTTTTTTCCGTATGTAATGGTGGTACTAATACCTTAAATATTTTTTTTATTTAAAGGAAGCATCTAAGAATATAGAATAATAACATGTACAAAGTATACAATGTCCTATAACTGTTATAATCTAACTGGCTTTATAACTAAGACATAGTAGCCTTAAAATAATTACTATAGCTACTCAATCTGAACACCTCAAGAGAAACTCAAACTGAAGATGAAACAGACAATACTTTGTATTGAAAAAAGACATTATACGTCATTTGATAGATTAAAACTTGGTTATAAATGATGTAATAGATAATGCCAGAATTATTGGCAATTTATGGAAGAGAGGATGGAACAAGTGGGTGTGTTGAGTGGGTCTAATTTTCTAGATTCCATAAGTAAAGAAGGTTGAAGGCAATAAAGTATGAACATGACTAATTTATATTAAAGTCAGTACTTCACAGAAGGATGGTAAATATATTAGAGAGTGTGCAAGACATAGAAAACAAATGTCACCATTTTCATGCAAGGAGAGACTGGGAATTTTTTTAAATATTTCCTTTTATAATTAAGAAGTTAAAACTTGTATTAAAATGTGTTGCCAAGTTTATTCATAGACATTTATAACAAGGTAGTTTAAGTTTTAAATGCTCTGTAAAAAATTGTGAGGTGTGCTTTAACCTACTTGTTGTGAGAGGGTTAATAGCTGAACTGTATGCATTTAAGTAAAAATATTTTAATAACAGTTTACTTTTTAATAGTAAAATTACTTTTGATTAGCAGTCATATTATTTGGAAAATAGATTTTTATATTATGGAAACACTAAAAATATTAAATTAACTTCGCTTTGACTGTTGTATCATCAATTAATTTTTTTATTCCATTTGCAGATGTATACACACATTAACATGAGACTCAAAAACAACACATTAAATGAGACATGTTGGTTGCTAACACATACACTCATTGTAAAGTGAAAATTAAAGTAAAAATATAATTTTGTGGTCTATAAGAAGTAAATTATGCAAAAATAAAATTAGTTATTTGATACGAAAAGACAGATTTTAGTTTCTGAAATACAGATGTTGAAGAATAATAGAATACTGATGTGAAATTATATATCAACTTGTTAACAACAGTTATGGTAAGCCATAATTAGTCTAGCTTAGAAATTAAGATTGATGTATATTAAATGAGTGTGAAATAAGTTGTATAATGATGTGAAGGAACATGACAAAAATTTTCATTTGAAAATAATGTTGAGATTTTGTTCAAATTAACATGAATCTAAAGATGATCATGTGGTTCATACTTTTTGTTTTATCTGTACAATCCAGGCATTTTACTTAGGCTTGCTTCAGACATACATGATTAAACCTTGAAAGATGACAGGGCTGGCTAAAATAATGCAGATATTAAGCCATCTTATTTCTAGCAGTTCACAGACACTATAATGTGTGATTTTATTTTTTGTTATTATTTATTTAAGTTCAATGTTTTGAAATCTACATAATATAAAGGATGTTGATACTACTTTTATAATTTTAACAAAAAGTCAGTGTTCAGACATGATCTCATATAATAGAATTTATATGGTTCAGAGCTCATAATGAGTTGCTGTGGAAACAAGGAATAAGAAAATGCTGTAGGGGCTAAAAGTAAAGACTGAACTTATACATATTTCAGGTGGGACTGAAGCTGACTCAACAAGAGATGAAAAATCCAAAAACAAGGATAAACATGATAAAGTACAAATTGCCAAGAAAATAGCCAAAGTATGTATATAAATGTATTATCTTGTGTTTATATAATGGATATAGATTTTAATAAAATGCACATTGATCTTTAATTTTACGTGTGTGTATATATATATATATATATATATATATATATATATATGTGTGTGTGTGTACGTAGTAAGTAAGGTAAAAATTAAAAATTTACTTACTTACTACGTAACCTTAAACTTTAAAGTTTAAGT